TATGTGAAATGACCTTCCTATATGTGAAATTGATCTGAAGTTGCAAGAACATAGTAACATTTGAAATGACTAATGTGGTCAACTTAAGCAAATGCCTACATTTGCAAATATAAAATAGAATCTCAAGAATGCAAATTATGAATGAGGAGTACATTTCTCTTCTGATAAGCAATACTGCATTAAATTTTATGTTCTTAAAACTCGCATGATTTTAGGCCTTAGTATTTAATTTCTGAAGTGTTTTCAAAGACCTTTACTTTCATGAATTGCTTGGGATATATAATAATTTTTGTGATTGTGATCTTTCAATTTTCTTACATAACTTTGTGAAAAGGAAAGCTGTAGTTGTTTAGGTCTCAGAGAGAAGACACAACCGTAATAGGAATGGGGAAGGATATTTTGGGGGATACTTTTCATATTTTGTGACAGTAGTCATCTGTCTTTGAATAATTAAACAAGAATTATTTCAGAAAATAAGCTGAAACTTGTCTCCCACTGCCATGAACTTTTGCTTGCTATGACTGCAATTATAGCTATTTTTTCAAAGAATTAAAAACTTGATGTTTCAGGATTCTGATGCAGATACCAGGTCTTCCAAAACATTGCTCCTCAGGTTTAGTTTTTTGGACGTTTGAACTGCAAGGTTCTATCCAAACCCAGATTAGTGGGTTTTTTTGTTGTCTGTTTTTTTGTTTTTTGTTTTTTTTTTTTTTTAATTTGGATGTAACTCTGTTTCTAACTATTGCTCAATTTCAGTGCTGGTGTTTCCCTTGGATTAATGACTAAATGATGAAGAAAGTTGAAGACTCTCCACATGCCAGCCACTACCATTAATTTCTTAGGAAATGTGACATTATTGCACTAAGACTATTTAGTTGGATAAACCATGTGGATGATGTTTAGTTGGATAATCCATGTGGATGACCCAACATAAAACTCTGAAGCATGCGCAGGCTGTCGTGGTGAGGGCTGGTTACAATTACTGTAAACTGCACCAGAAATCTTAACAAAATGCTGCACTCAGGATTTCCTTGTGATAAGAATCAAGGAAGTTTGCACCGCAGAGAAAGATTAGATGGGAGAAGATGCCAAAATGTGGCATGGGGATCTGCCTTTTGACAGTTATAAAGTGAAACATTCTCCATCTAGTAAAAAAAAAAATAAAATGTAGCCTTCAACCTGCCAAGGGCCAGGAACATGGCACAACCCTCCTGAATGTGTGACAGATGCACAAACTGAGGGACGCCGCAAGAAATAGCAGAGAGGAAGCTTGAAATGCTGTTGGGTGCATTTCTTTAATATAAATAAAGTTTTCCAAAACCTCAGTTTCATGATTCAGCATTTCTTTTGGCACTGAAATTATAGTAACAATTTAAAAGTAGGCTGAACAAGTCTGAGGGAATATGCTGGTAAGTTCAGGCCAGAGAGGGAGAAGTCCCTGGAAGTAATAATAAAAAAATTAAGACCTCCTCCACCCCCAATAATTGCAGTTTAATTCTTTTAATGAAGAATGTCTTAAAGCACTTTACAAACACATAATAATTATGATATCCTCACCATACTTTCTGAGGCAGATATGATCATGCTTATTTTCTGGATGAATAAACTGACCCATTGTATTAAAATAATTTGACCTAGGCTTGCTCCAAAAACAATGGGAGACCAAAGAATAAACTCTTTAACCTAATTATGAGACAGTAGCAATGTGTATGGAGGAAGCAACTAAACTGAGGGTACTACATGGGGTAGATACTGTAGCTAACTCTTTCTTGATTTCCTTTGTTTTGAAAGTCATAAGTTTTTCCTGCTTGACTTGGGATTAGTGGAAACTGTGGGGGCTCAGCACTTTAGAAAGATGGTGTTCAAAAGTTATCTCATGGTTTTTATCAGTATTTTTATTTTTTATTAAAAAAAATACTTATGCCATATACAAATGATTTTTATATATAATTTTGATCAGGAAGTTGATCGTGTGGCCTCATTAATTCAATGACCATTGGGCAGCCAGGAGACCAGAACTGTGCGTCTTGTGCACATGTGTTGAGCATAAACTTAAATTTTGAATGCTTGTGCATGTCTGTTTCTTAGGACCCGACCTCTAATTCCTTCAGGATTATGTTTTTCTGGAAGGGTCACTGTCTGAAGCAGCTCCTGCTGCAAGGGAAATGGGTTACTGGATGGGGAGGTCTTGCAGGACAATTGGGCACCTGTTTTGTCCCGGAGAAGCAGGCAGAACCAGGTGGAGGGGATGGGGTAAGGGTGGGGCAGAGCCTGAGAGGCACCTGGAGAACCTCTGTGTATGCCAAGCTGGGGAGGTGCTGCTGCCTGGGAGCCCCAGCTGTTGCCCTGCTCTGAAGAACGGCTGTAGAAATTCACCTTTCCTCAGCTGACCCACTGTCTGTGCCTCCCGGCAGAGTGTGAGTGGTTGACCTGGGTTCCCTTCAGCCTCCCCTGGGGAGAAGAATGACAGACTAATCTGTGATGGCTGAGTCCCCTCTACCCCCCGGCATCTTCAGGTTACTTACTCTGTACAAGATACCCTTCCCTTGTCACAACTTTAAAACCATGGAAGGGCCAGACCTGGATCCTAACATGATTTGGGAAAGGCTCCTGATATTCTACAGTCATCAAAGAATATATGTTTCTGACTATAACACATCAGCTATAAAGGAAAAATGCTTTTCTTTGAGTTTTACATTTTCAGAACACACATCCTACTTGATGTGGAAAGTTACCGAAGTCAGAGAGATAAAAGTTCCGTGAGCTATGAAAGAAAACAAAACTTTTAATTTTCAGTATTGAGAAGTGCCTGTTTTTTAAAAAATTAAATTTTGATACTTTCCTCTGTGATTTTCATTAACTTTTGAATCCATAAGTTTATATATAAAGTACTATTGTAAAGGTCAGAGAATCTTATTATCTCTACTTCAAACTCATAATGTTTTTTGAAGATTATCATATCTCTTGGAAATTCCTAATTTAAAGACATAATAACTTAAATATTTTATTCAGTTGTTTAAGTAGAGGTGGGCCAGAAACAAAACTTTAACTCAAAATCTGCATGAATCTTAGGGACTCAATGGTTCCAACTGATACTCCAGCTTTGTTGCTCGGTACCCAGAGGAACATGAATTAAAGCTACATGTCTGAGCTCTCCTGCTCACTCACTCACTGTGAGTGATCAGAGTTGCAACTACATTTTGTTCTTATTTTTGTTTAATAGGTAGTACCACATGGCGTGCATGCTCTGTGTTTGCAATACCTTTTCTCTAGATCTATAAACCCCCCCAAGCCATAAATAAAAACCCCCCACAATCGCTGTGTTTCTCATGGGTTGTTAGCTTTGGAAAAGATGCACAAATACCTATTAAAAGCAGAGTGAATCATTATGGAATTTCCATTCCACAGTAAAAGCAGTATTTCATTTTGGGCAGGGAAGTGTTCTCCATTTCACCCTTTTTGCTCCGGGTTTACTGTAGTTTATTGAAATGGCAAAATGAAACACTCTGATTTTGTTGAAATGCAACATTTATATAATTTTGCAGTTACTTTTTTTGACAAAGTTGATAAATTCCTATAAAATTATTTAATTTTGCTTAGTCAGCATTTTTCAAAAGAAGCATTTCTGGTGGGAAATTTTTAACACTAAGAAGAAAGCCTTGAGTCAGTGTTCAAGATGGAGAGGAAGGTAATGGGGAAGTTAGTCTGTATCCTGTTACTAACTTATTTATTTCTGGTGATTTTGGTTACTGTGAAACTCCACTTAAACCGAAGGTGCTATAGCATGATCTGGGCGAGCATCTTTATCCTGCAGAGGCAGTCAGCAACAGTATTTGATAGGAAAATGAAATTACCTGTATGATCCAATACCAGGCTGGGACAAGCTAAAGAAGGGAGAGTGTTTGCAGAAATATTTCCTTGCCGGTTCCGAGATGCAGCAATGCTCTCAGCACCGCGCATTGCCAGCCGAGGAGCAGGGCAGCCAGCTGCGCAGCGTGGCAGGGGCTTTTCCAGGCTTTGGTTGTGTAGCTGTCTGAGGGTCCACTGCACCACGCTGTGCAAGGCCTGTTTTGCTAACGCAGCTATACTGCTCTCTGCTCCTCCTGACTCGTCCAGAGCCAGTTGAAGCATCGTGGCATGGGCCTGGCTGTTACTCAGTAGATGCAACGTGAGGCATCACTGAACGTGTACTCATGTTGTCTCATTTTTTCAAAATATTACCACTTAAAATGTAGCCTGTAAATATGTTGAAAAATGAGCCTGTAAAGATGTTGAAAAGTGAGATGAAAAATGAAAAATAAATGCACTAAAGTGAAAACATATGGCAGGTGCAAGTTATATGCAAACTTTATAATGAATTCTGAAAATATACTTGAAGAATGAGAACTACAAATGTTTCTAGTCTGGATGGCACATATTAAGGATCACTCCAATGTGCTCCATGATGTTTACCAGATCTAAAAGCACAGTTATGCTTGTGAACTTTGATTAATCACTCAATACCCTGAGTGTAGTAATGGGCAAGAAGGTTGGTAGCGTCAAGTCATTCTCTAAATTGTGCTTAACAGTTTCAAATGAGGGATAGATGAACTGGCTGCACTAACTAAAACACTGAGCCTGAATCTATCTACACAGGCCATTCAAAGCAGACATGAGTTCCAGAGATTTGTGGACAATCAATTATCACTATTAAATAGGTCCTGCTTTTCACATCTCATCAGTTGATGGTTCTGTGTAGGACTGGAAGCAAAAGTGGCAAAAGTGGCAAAATTGAATTTCTTTGTTGTTTCTGGCACAATTCAGCTCAGGAATTATTGCAATATTTCCAACCTCTTTTGTCAGACCAGAGAGGTTGGGATAAGTTGGCACAGTTATAGGAAGCCAACTTCCAACCCTTGGTCTTTTGCCCAGCACCTTGCCTGCCACGTGGCAGCACATGGCAAAAGAAATTCATGGCCTCAATTTGTTTATAATGTGTCTTTCTGATTTTTATTCTTCAGAGCTTTGTCATCCGTGGTGGCTTTAGGAGCTAATATCATCTGCAACAAAATCCCAGGCCTGGCCCCTCGGCAACGAGCAATCTGCCAGAGCCGCCCTGATGCCATCATTGTGATCGGGGAAGGGGCACAGATGGGAATCAATGAGTGCCAGTACCAGTTTCGGTATGGGAGGTGGAACTGCTCTGCGCTGGGAGAGAAAACAGTCTTTGGACAAGAGCTTCGAGTAGGTAAGGGTGTCTCTAATACAGTCCTGAAGTGATACGTTTGGTCTGGTTTTCTTTTAGCTTTCTCACTGAGGTCCTGCAAAGGTTTATAACCCTCTGGTATTTGTCTACTGGAGTTCAACAGTGATGTTCCCAGAACAACTGTGATCTGTATGTTTTCACTCATTGAAAAGTAACTGACAAGAGACACAAAATCTCTAGTGATCTCTAGATGAAGTCATTCATATTTGTTTAACTTCATACCTAGCAATGACCTAAATGCCTGCACAGGCATCCAAGGACAGTGTCATTACACCCCATGAAAAAATATTTCCAACTGTCATCCTGTTACAGTTTGCCATGATAACTGTGGTGCGTATTATGGCAAATCAAAAGGGAACTAAAATCAGCTCCAAAAAAATCCCTCTGCAGATTTTTCACAAGCTTAAGTAATGAGAGAGTCCCAATTAACTGAAGGAAGTATGGTGCATACGACACTGGCCTTTGAACAGGTTTCCTGCCTCAAATCATTTGCAGTATTTTCTTTATAGTATGATAGCAAACACTAAAATGGATACGTATCACTGCCATATATGGCAAATGATTTGAGGCAGGAAACCTATTCAAAGAAAATAATACAGGACCTTGGCCTGATAAGCTGTTAGCTGGTAGAAGTTAAATTGATCACTTTCCATTTACCCTATGTCTGATATTATTTCATAGGGGAGATTATGCATTTCTTTTCCAGCACTAAGATCATAATTTTCCTCGTCACCCAGCCTAAGGATCTTTAGCCTATTCCTGACCTTTCCTCTCTCCCCCACATGCTGTCCATTTATCATCCCCCATACTGTCTGCTGTTCTGTGTTGGGATAACATTTTGTGTTGTGTGGCTCTCACAAGGGCACTCAGAGTGATACCACCCAGTTTTTCAGTGGGGTTGTGTCCTGTCCTTCTTGTGTCTGATTCTTCTTTGGGTGCCACCTCTTTCTTTAATTCAGTGGTTTGTATGAGTTTTGTGCCTCCAACACAACTGGATGTGCTCAGACAGAAGATCTCGTTAAAACTGTGTGAAAAAAAGGCATAACATTTCATCCCATCTGTGCAAAGAGGAAACAATATATATGGTGCTTTGGTTGTTACTGGAGATCAAGGCTTTTTTTGTTTTGTTTTGTTTTTTGTTTTGTTTTGTTTTGTTTTTTTTTTGTTTTTTTTTTTTTTTTTTTTCCCAACACCCTTGTGAAATAAATGCCAGAAGCTGAGGTACGCTTAAGTCAATGATGAAACTCGAATATTTTTTCAAAAAACATGCAAATCTGAGAGTCTGGCTGAGGACTGGGCTTTTTAAGGACACAGTAGCCCAGCTGTGAAATGTTATAATTGAATAAATCCATTGGCATAACAGGAACTGATTTACACCCACAAAGAATCTGTCATGTTCTGTGAGCATTACTCCACACCAAATCATGGAAGTGAAGAGGGCTAAAACTAATGATAAAAAGACCCAATAAACTGAATCAACGGCAAAAGCCTGAACTTCTGAACTTCAGAAAAAAGTTTGCTAGAATTTGGCTTCGATGATGAAAATGTGGTAGTGAGGAATTTGCTTATCAGTGTCTCTTCCCACGTTTGTCCTATGATATTTCTAATTCTGTTTAGGTAATACTTCTTGCCTAACTTTTGTTTCTTAAAAACAGTGTACACGGAAGGCATTAAACATTCTCAAGACACTATATACAGGAAATAACCTAACATTTGACTTTTACCTTCAACTTTAAATGAACCAGAAAAACATTTAGTCACCTGTCTTGACTATTAGAAGCACAGGGCTGGTCCTCCTTGGTTGGTCTTGTGCTTGTTTGTGTGAAGCTGATGTCCAAAATAATGTTGCTGCCAGAAAATATACAGCCGCCAATTATGTCATTGTTGTACTTCCTCATGCTATGTTGTCTTGATCTGCCAAAGCTTGCAGGCATACTCTGACCCTTAGACAAATATGTCCTCTTAACTTCTGTGAGATCACTTATGTCCTTGAAGAGGCACACTCTGGATGGTTGTACCAGAGTCAGTGTCATCACTAAGCTTCCTGGTGAAAAGTCTTTCACCACTTCTGCTTGCCTCTTCAGGCTGAGAATCTTGTGACATCTCACCAGCCCTGTCCTTGCACTCATGAGTAATAATTCTTTTCACCAGAGAGACTCCTTTCATCCTCAAAAATCTTGTAAGTGAGCACAGTCTAAATGGGTAAAGAGGACTACAAATTGTGACTGTGCTTTCATTCTGCACATTTCTATAAAAAATAAGAGCTACAAGGAAAAAAAAATGTTTAGCATCAGGATGCACCAGGTATCAGGTTGGTCAGACTATACCAAGTTTGAAAAAAACAGGGTTTTCTTGAGCCACTCTTCAGGCCACATTTGCCAGAATGATCACCAGATTCTTGACCTCTTCACCGAACCTGGGTGGTTTCTTGCAACTCTGAAATGACTGATGTGGAATTTGGTGGGTTCTTTTATGGCTTAACCCAAACACAGACGAGACTTGGCAGTTGCAGCTGAGTTCTGCTTTGACATTTGTTGGGTGTGAAACCACACAAACTCTAACGGATGGAGAAGGTTTACATGACCCCTGCCAGCTGAGCCAGATGAGTTCCATGCAGGTCTATAAAGGATCCCATAATCCACATGTCTTTATTTGGTTTATTAGTGGAGTAGCACCCAGAGATGATGTGGTCAATATCTAGGAAAAGGACAGGGTTTAGGAAGTGGTGTTATTGCGCTAGTGAGGGGGAGGAAAAAGTAAAAAAAAAGGACAAAGCTTATAAAACCCAAACCGCTTAAAGGTACAAAATACTTGTAAGCATAAATATTCACATGTGTAACAAAACTCATCCGTGTCTAGCACATACAAAAACACTAAACCAGACATTTGGTTCTGCCTGAACAGATCGAAGAAAGGATTAAGACTCAAAAACACAGGCATGTTTTTCACTTGACCCCAAAGGAAAGCTCATCTAGCTTCTTTCCAGAACTGCTTAGGGAGATGAACAATCAAGGCAAGTTATTCAGATCATAGGGTGGAGAGGGCAAGTAAGCTATGATAGTATGATATTAATTGCTCTCTATCTGTATGGAAAAGAGAGGACATTTTAGCCACTGGGCCAAGGTTCTACCACTAGCATTGACAAGTGTAGATTTATGGTTATTCTAATTTGTACCCTGATGCAACACTTCCCCTTCAAAATTCAAAGCAAGCCCCCAGATTCCCCCAACATGAGGTTTCTCCAAGTGTTATGCATCTGTTCCCAACACCACCAGTTGGGTGCCATTATGATCCAACTATGCATGTGTTCCAGACACAACCAAGCAGCAGCCAGAAGGCATGACACAGGAGCAATTGTCCATCCTTGTGATTTCTGGGGATCCTATTGTGCCAGTGGAACTCCCAGTAAGTCAGCTAAGCTGGATCGGTGCTGAGCTATTTTTTCAAAGAGGTACTTCAGTGAATGAGAGTTGTACCACCTATATAATACATGGGAGTCTGTATCAAAACCAATTGAAATACTTCAGAGGACAGCGTAACAACTGTAGAAATTATGTTAGGAATGGAGCATTTGTGTTGGTGTGAAAGATTTATAGCAGCCACAGATAAAAAGTGACGGAGAGATCCAAATTAGTAGCATGAACAAAGGATGTATCATGGGATGAATTAGTCAAGCATTGTGTATATCTTTTTTTGGTATATTTATAGCTGGGAAATTTTCCATAGTCATGCCATCCCCAAAGAAAAGTAACTGCTACACTCACTTTGCTCATCCTGACCCTGTACATGTGTTTGTCACCTTGCTGCACTCATCCCTAGTTTTCCTGCCAGAGTCTCACACAAAGTCATCTTTTACACTCTCCACTCATTCCTCTTGCTGTATGCCTCTTTAACAAATTACCTCTTTAATAAATGGATTCACAAATTAACTGGTTAATGATATATCAATTGTTATTATTTATAACCTTTGATGAAAGATAATTGTCCTAAATTTTTGAAGGCAAGGACCCTGATCTGGAAGAGTATAGCCTCTGGTCCTATCAGGTTATTGACGGAAAAGAGCTCCAGCGCTAAGGACTGATCTCTATTCCCCCAAATGATGGCTGAAGCCATCTATCATGTAGGTACTTCTAAAAGTCACAGATCATTAGTAACAGTTGAAAGCAAGTAGGTCCAAGCAAAAAGTAAGCAGTACAGCCGCTGAAGTATGAAGTCAGACTCAATAACAGAAGTGAAACCTACTGTTGTTCTTTGAAAGAGGATTATTCTGGCTAATTATCTGTGCATTGACCATTTCTGCTGGAATTCTCCAGATTGAAGTGTTTATAAACAGACTGCTATTGTCAGTGCTAAATTCAGGGCAAAAATTAGGTGTTTTGAAGCACATAGGTGTCAAGATATCCAAAGTAATCTGTAGATGTTTCTTTTGTCAGACTCATGATGAGGAAATCGATCATGATTAGCATTCATTTGGCTGTATCATTGATACAATGATTTGGCAAGTCATTGAACTGGACACCTAACAGGGAAGAATCAACAAATGGGCAAAAACCAAGGGAGTTCTGAAGTTTTAAAGAAAATTATCTGACCTTTTGTATTGATCTGTAGATTTCTGGCATGTTGCAAGGATGTGTCTGAAATGAGGTAAAAACCCTGTTTACTGTGGGAGGTTTAGGACAACAACATAATCTTAAGAAACGTCCTGTTGCCACACATTCTCTCAACTTTTGTTCCACTCTCCAGTCATAAAGGAGGAAGGATGGGAGACAAACTATGCTTTTAAAGACTAACAAAATCTGTGCATGGATTTTATTAACTCACAGGTGAATAAGGCTTTACAAGTTATTTTGAGAAACACAGAAAATAAAGTTGAATGTCATGGTTATATACACATGCACATATAAACTGCTTAAGAAGACAGCATAATTTCAAACAGAAGATTAAGAAAGGGAGGAGAACATCTTCTGGAGGGAAGATACTAA